GGTATGCTCGACTCTTTGATTGTTACGCGTGATCGGTTACTTGCACCAGACGGAATTAGTAAGTTTTTTTTTTTATCAGTTATATGGCCACGTCTTAAATGTAACGAATAATATTTAATATCATATCTGGTGAAAATTCTTATACTTAGTTGCACCTAGTCATTGTCGTCTTTTATTGGCTGCTATTGAGGATGAAGAGCTTTTTAACGATACTTTTAATTTTTGGAATGACGTCTACGGTATGATGTTTCGACAATGAAATTGTGTTTTTACTTTTGTCCATCATTTAATATTTTTTATCATTTTGTTCAGGGTTTAAAATGACGGCAATGAAACGTCCAATTTATACGAGTGCTATCATAGATTATGTAACACAAGATGCACTTATTTCTGATACAGTTTCAATTAAAGTATGTCATGACATTAAATAACTGTTTTACCATGATGTTTTTTTTAATATTTCTCAACTTTTAATATTTTCAAGGAAGTTCCTCTCCATACAATTCGCAAATCTCAATTGAATTTCACTTCGCCGTTTACACTAGAAATATTACGTGATGGTACTGTTCATGGATTCTTGGGTTATTTTGATACCTGGTTTACACGTGACGGTCATTATATTCCATTGTCGCAGAATGTGAATGATAAGATTGATGGCATTACTAGCTTTACAACTGGGCCACAAGGTGGGGTTACCCATTGGAGGCAGACGATATTTTTTCTTGAACATGGAATTCATGTTAAGAAGGGTAAATATTGTAAAAATACTTGGCTACTGTGTTGCGAGTTATGGATATGGTATTGACACTTTTTTTTTTCTTATTGTAGGTACAACGATCGTTGGCACAATTGATTGTCGTAAGAATATAGAAAATTATCGTGATCTTGATTTTGAAATATGCTATAGCATAGTAAAAGCTGGAGAGGACTCTAAATGTGCAATTAAACACAAGCAGAACTTCTATTTACGATAACTTATGATAACAAGTAGAAAGTTACAGATCTCACGAAAACGGTTTTGTACTATATTCGTAATACATATTTATGTTGAGCATTCTTTACATACTATATTTCACGTATTTTATTTTCTATAACTGATAATTTTTCTGATCTTGTAATAAATTAAACAATAAAATAAACAATCTGATTGCTAGATGATTTCTGATTACTAGGAAATTGAATCTGATGTAAGTCCGAAGCGAAAAAATGCATTTACGTTAAATTCTCGTAACCTAGAGAATTATCTAATATTAAACTGAGTTATACTGATTGCTGGAACCTACAATTACAATTGGAAAATGTGTACCAGGCTGGTGGCGCTGACAAATTCTTAAAATTTGTTAAGGTTAGGGTCAGGGTCAGGGTTTAGAGCTAAAGGGAATAGTTGTAAAAGTAAATTGTCCAACAAAAACTTTTGCAATAGACAAAGGTGGTTTCTTATACTGATTTTTGAGTTATGAGCGATTTTTGGCAGAACGAACGTTTTGTTTTAATTTTCCTACGTCACCAACTTGGTAGATTGCCCTACAATTAGGGATGTGAAAAGTTCAACTCGTCTTTAGAAGTCGAGTCATACT